TGCTGGGTTGGGTATCGTAGCTTGAAGTAGCAACGATGTGTGCCTTAGTTGGAGACATTGCTGCAACACTGACTGCCTTGCTCTGGCTGTTGCGGCAGGAGAAATTGTCTTGCGCCCACACGTTATAGGCAGAGACTGGGAGTATAGAAAACACACAACAATCTGATAAAAATCTACCAACGTATTGCGGTTGAAGTAATTTAATTTTGTGTAGGTGTTTGGCTTACTTTATGGCTATACACCCCCGACTACGTATCATTTTCAGTTGATTTATGGCAAATGAAGTTTCGTTAAAAACAATGCTGTCTTTCATTCTTTTTAAGATTTGAAAAACACCAAGTCAGGCAGCTTTGAAGTTCCATATTAAACAAAGCCCCTTCTTAAACTGTTTGCTGCCCTGTAAATCATTGTTGATTTATTTTATTATGCGGGCGAGTTGCACTTCTCGACGTTTGCGCAGTCAAACAGTCGTTTAACTTTTAGCAAAGTTGCTTTGAAAATAAGCGGTTCCCTACTAACGCGCCTTAGCTGTTCACGGGAAAAGAACCTACTTGGTCGAAAAGCCACCGGTGACAAAAACTTCACTGCTAACGCGTGTATTTGGTGCAACGGGCAGTGCCGATGTGGTGAAAGAACGCAAGACCGCTAATGGGTGACCCCGTGTCACTGAGGCTCGCGTTCTTTTGTGATGCGTTCAGGTTTTTGACATGAGAAATGTGTGTCTGCCTTTAAAACACGCACACTTCAATCTACCCCGCTGTGGCATTAGCGAAAAGCAATGCGACGCATAATCATTAAAAGCACTCCTGTAAATGACACTCGCTACGTCCCTGTTTTAACCCACCTGGCTCTTTTTAGGATGGTTCTTTCGCTTTGGCCTGCAAGAGTCGCTATTTCCCAGGCGAGATTGTCGCTACCCGGTGAGTATTTCTTTCCTTCCTTTTTTCGCTTTTATGAGATTGCATGTTGTAATCTAGAGGACGAAGGTCGATGCCTGATCATCGGGGTCTTTGGATCATCCTAGAACGTCCAATGTGCAAACACAAATTGCACATGAATAGCATGAGTGACGTGCCCTCCTAACGGCCCACATTGCACATGCATCCTGCTTTGCACACATCATCGACGCCAAGAGAGAACAAAAGAGGTCCGTCTTGTGGGAGTAGGATTGTTGGGCTTGATGTGATTTGGCTTGAGGAAAGACGGAAGCATGGAGGCCAATGAAACAGTTAGCTCCGTTTTCTTTCGCATCCCAGGCTCGTTTGAGTAATTGCGTTGGTGTTAGGGGAACGTCCAGCAGGTCTGGATGACCAGGTGAACTAGCCGACTTCTTCTTCTTCTTCTCAAATCATAACCTGTTTGCGTAGCCTGATTCGTTGGCCTCTTCTGGCGTGAGCAGGGCATGACAGTCGTGGGTGCGGGTTTCTTTTCTCATGTTGCTACGAGTATTCCTGGGTTCTTCCGCGAAGGCTGTTTGGTTATTTTTGCACCATGCAGGCCTTTGCATGAGTTTCTAGATGTAAACAGAAGGCCCTCGACTGGGTATTTACGAGGGCGAAAAAAACATCATACCTTGGACCTCTTTTCAGCAATTTATAACTTTCCAATTTATCAACGGGCGTATCGTCCTTTCGTTTTTGGGAATAAACTAGGGTAATGTTGATGACCATGGTCATTAAGGAACAGGATGTTTTGGAAACAGTTTAACTATGCACATTTCCTAATTGCCATTTATTATCTTAGATGTCTTCAGAAGATTCGGCTATGAATCCTGAGTAAAATCAGTTTAAAATGATTACATTTGCTTATTTTAGGCGCGGCAGTCCGCTTCTTCTTGGTATCAAAAGCAAGCATCGATTGACCATGGACCAGATCCCGATTTCCTATCCAACAAAGGGTAATTTTATTCATTTGACTGCTCTTTGTGTGTGTCCATTCTTTTATCCAGTGTATACTTGGTTGTCTTCTGATTTCTCGAATGTTTATCAGGGCTCTGTGACTTCCATTATTTGTCTTCCTAGCGGCTTATGAGCGCATTCATTACTCTCTTAATCGCCGAGTAATTTTGCCGCTTATACCGAAAATGATTCACATTCACGGGAATGGGTAAAGCAAGAAAACAACCTTGGTTATGTGCTAATTTGTGCACTTGTAATGCCTTCAACTGCAAGTACGCAATTACTGAAAGCATACTGGTTCTCGCATGTGGACGCCTTGTTGAGAAGAGGTGATTCCCCGCCACAGTGTGGCAGACCGCTGTTAACTTGGATGGTTTCTCCGCTGGCACTGCGTGACCCCGACTGTCGGGTCAAACAGGCGGTGGAGGTGGTTGCACTTTGCGCACGAGACGTCGACCTAGTCTGGGGCTCATGCAAACTGCAATTTACCTGTTGCCGGTTAGGGCAGCTGACTTTCGTTGACAAATGTGTCAAATTGAAACATTTCCATCGCTCGCAGTAAAAACGAACGAGTCCATCACTGGAGTTCTCACATTTAAGGTTTCGTTGGCGTATCCACTTGTTGACTTCTTCGTTTAGTCAGTCTTTTTTGTTCACGAAAAAAAAAGCGCCGCGTCCACCCAGATTCGATGAACGAACGCGTCCCAGCTCAAGTTTTACAAGAAAGATAAGGCGTTAATGCATGATTCGCGTTTTATGCGATGAGCGGAGCGTGTGAAGAGGAGGTCGTTTCGCCGACGCGAACTCACGCAAAGCGAATTTGACCGTCCTGTCGGCCTGAAAGACATTGGTTGTGCCTTGCTCATCGCCGCGGGTGCACGCGCCAATTGGTCTGGCGGCTCACCCGATCACCTCATGTGTGTGCTGGCAAAGTGAGCTAAACTGAAGCCATAGGCTGGCCCACGAACCATTCAGGCGGTTCCAGGGCCCTTCGTCAGTCCTGTTATGTGGAGAGCTTGAAGGCAAGATGATTAGAGTCACTCAGCCAACTTCTACTTTGTCGCGAGTATTGTGTCCCTCACTCGGCTGTGTGTGCATTACCGAAAACCACTTTTTCCCGCACCCAGAACGTTGGGGTTCGCACTACTTCGTTGACATGGACGGTGACGGCAGCGAAAGTGGATCTGCGAGTTCTCCGCCACCACCGTCCACCCCACACACCAATCCCGAGTACCAGCTCTCTGCCCAGTCTGATAAGAAGGACATTGAATTCTTTTTCTCGTCCGATCCCAGGTACGTGGCTCTTTGGGATTTTTTGGTGTCGTTCCTTAACTTAGGGAGCAGATAACTAGCCGATTTGATAGCTTTGGCCGTAGGTCCCGTCTCCTGGGCTCTATTTCACACGATTTCCATCGAACTTAATGCGGCATCGTATCATTTTTCTAGCTGACTACCGTTATCTCCACCGATTTCCATTCGTTTAAAATCGTTTGGCTTTGTTTGTAGTTGAAGTCAAACCTCCCCCCATACTAATTGATGGTAAACAGCCTGTAGATGTTCATTGTAAAATCAGAATAAATCACTTTGGGGTTATTCAACATATCAACATCATAGTCTGGAATTTAAAGGTATGCAATCCTTGTAGACAGCGAATAGTTGGTTGACTAGAGAGATAATTCTGTGGCAAGTGCATCATGGTTAACTTTTTTTGCTAACCAATCACGGTCTCTAAGGGACTGCGGCAAAAATGGGCGGTTATCCAGGTGCTTCGCATTGCCTTTGGTGCCTCCTGTCTCCTCGCCGCAAACACGGTGATGTGACCGGTGATTTTTTACCTTGTTAGTGCCGTAATTGAACACACAGACCGCGTTATCTACCTGGAGGACAACGATATCGCCGCAGTGCGCGATGGGACCCTTTCGATTCATCGTATTACCAAAAAAGCCAACGAGCCATCGGTTCGTGATATAGTCACACTCCACCTCGAGATAAACGAGATCATGAAGGGTGGGTCTCTAAGTGGACAGTGCACTGAGGCCTTTGAAGAACGATTAGTTACGAGTCTTCTGGGTTGCAGGTAGCTACGAGTACTTCATGCAGAAGGAGATCTTTGAACAGCCCGATTCCATTCTCAACACAATGAGGGGTCGTGTGAATTTCAGTGATCTCTCCATCGTCCTTGGTGGCATAAAGAACAATCTTGTGGACATCAAACGAAGTCGTCGGTTGATGTTCATCGGTTGCGGTACCAGCTACAACTCTGCCATTGCTGTATGTTTCTTGAAACCCTCTCACGCATTCCTAAAGTTCTGGATTAGTGCCCTGTAGTTCTAAAGTGCTTCGTTTTAAAAACGCGAAATATCCATGGATTTGGAATGAGGTCATGTTAAAAATTCATTTGAAAAGGTAAAGGTTTTAATGCTGCGGGACACGCACACAGGATACTCAAATGGCGCGTGTGGAGGGGTGGAGTTTTGTGTCGTCTTTCAGGAGTCGCCCTGGAAACCAAGAGGACCTGAGGCTGCAGTATTCCGATTATTAGCGTCACATTCATTTTATCAGCACAGATGTGCAGGCTGCAGAGCGCTTTGGACAAAATTTGTATTAACACTATTAGATCGATTTATTGCGCAACAAAACCGAACAAAGCTTTTAAAACCAGGCACGTCCAGAAGGCACTCGGCCGCATGTACCTCCAAATCGCGTATGTGAGAGCGCGTTGCTAAGGCGCCAGCTCCTGACTCAAGTTGTATCGCCGTCCAACTTTTCACGCATCATGTTTTTTGCTGAACAGGTGCGTGAGCTTCTAGAGGAGTTGACGGAGTTGCCGGTGGTGGTTGAGTTGGCGAGCGACTTCCTCGATCGCCGCACGCCCGTCTTCCGCGACGACGTCTGCATCTTCATAAGCCAGTCGGGTGAGACAGCGGACACCCTGATGGCGCTGCGCTACTGCCTTGCGCGCGGGGTGATGACCTTGGGAATCACCAACACCGCTGGCTCGACATTGTCCCGTGAAACGCACTGTGGCATTCACATGAATGCGGGCCCTGAGATCGGCGTCGCCAGCACCAAGGTATGGCAACTGTCCCTTCCACTCCCCCATCCCACCCTCATACTTTTCTTTTCCACTCTTCCCTTCCTCTCGATTGAATCTCCTTTCCCCTACACTCATCGGCCTGCTCGATGCCAACTTTGCCTAACATCCCCCCTCCTTACAAATCACCCTGTTTCTCAATTATCTACACTCGCCTCACTGACGCACCGTTCATTTCCCCGTCCCACGCCCATATGCTGTCCTACTCTTTTCCCTAAGTTCCCACGTCCTTCGATCTCCTCCGTTTAGTGGTGCTTTCCAGGGGTGCACAGACGGCTGGATAATTTAACATTTCAGGCTGAGTTGCTGATCCGTAGGCGGCCCTATTACTAAAACTTTTAGATGTGCGATTATATTACAATCACGCGGTAATGCTCTGTTGTTTCTCTTCGCTGAAGGCCTACACCAGTCAGATCATCACCATGGTCATGTTCGCGCTTGTCCTCTCCGAAGATCGAATCTCCCTCCAGGCCCGTCGGAGGCACATTATCGAGGCGCTTGGCCGTCTACCAGGTTAGTTCCGCGTCCATTTCAGATCGTCGGAGTGCTAGAAGCGTGGGAGGAAAAAATCACCTTAAGGTAATCTCACTTTTTTGCAGAGCAAGTGGATTCTATTCTCAAGAAAGAAGACGCAATTATCGAGATGGCTGAAAATATGCGCAACGCACGAAGTATTTTGGTTCTTGGTCGCGGGTACAACTACGCAACCTGCCTCGAAGGAGCTCTAGTAAGCTGCTTTATTGTTTTACACGATTGGCTTCTTGCCAACTGAGTGGTTTGCAGTGTTGTTAACCTCCGGAATACTTTTCACAACTCACGTCTACTTATTATCCGGACATATGTGGATGCATCTCCCCCTAGTTTGAGAGTAGCTTTCTGTCAATTTAGCCCGACTTGGACCTCTTCTTGTAGTAGACTCATCTACTGGAATCAAATTTGGTGTGCCGAAGTTGTCGGCTTGAGCCATACTGATTGAAATAACAATAGCTGCCAATAGGAGACGTAGAACCTTGGGTTTAGTTGTTTTGGTAATGCACCATAACACAGCCTGCACTGTTGTGTTGCAGAAACTGAAGGAACTCACGTATATTCACGCCGAGGGCATAATGTCCGGAGAACTGAAGCACGGACCGCTGGCCATGGTAGACGCCGAGATGCGCGTCATCATCATCGTCACGAAGGATCGTCTCTACGAGGTTAGCTACTGGTTTTCACCTCAGTTTACCCGCTATCTGTCATTCAGCCAACTTGGATTTAACATGGGTTCTCCTTGCTATATGTCATCGACTCATGGCATCCGTGCTAACTTTCAGCTCAGTTTTTCGTCTTCCTCGAAGCGGTGTGGACAGATGCAAAGCTGCCGTGTTCACAGAACTGGTCATTTTTGTAAAGAAAACTTACTTTCTTGAATGCCTTACAGTCTGTTAACACAGAGAAACTCAGCCGCATGTGTTAATGAGTAGGTTTTGTGTTACGAAGGCAGGGTATGTTATAATGTTGTTTATTCTACTGATCATTGTAGAAGATTCTAAATGCACTCCACGAAGTCCATTCTCGTCGGGGCAAGCCGATTGTGATTGCCAACGAAGGTTCGGACGACTACTTAAAGAAACTCGCCAGTGTGGTATTCGAGGTGCCACAAACTGTTGACTGTCTGCAAGGCATTCTGGCCGTGGTGCCGCTGCAGCTCCTTTCATACCACATTGCCCGACTCAAGGGCCTTGATGTAAGTTCCATGTTGAGGCTGCCTTCGTCGTTCACTTTGGGGGTGTGGCACGTGTGCTTTGTTTTTCAGGTCGACTGTCCGAGGAATTTGGCCAAGTCTGTTACGGTGGAGTAAATTTCCTCACTTCGCCACCCTTTAATTTGTCTCTTCTGTTTTAAACTGTGCCTTTACCTGTGTGCATTCCAGTGGTTAATCTCGTGTTTTTTTTCTAATTCTATCGTTACTTCTGATTCCCCATTTGTGTACAATGCGAAAGAAAAATGCTTTTTTCTGCACATATGTTGCTTGAATTCCCAAATAAAAGTACCCTTTTTCAGCTCTAGGAAGGTATGAATAGTCGGACCTCTTTGTTTCTAATACTCCTGAGTTCCCTGCCGGATAGTAGTAAAATCAGTTGTACTGCACCTGTGTTCACGCCTACCATAAAATTTTGCGTTGCGACTTCGACATTGGTGTTACACGTGCAATTAATCCTATAACCCGCTTTGGGATTAACCTCGTTCAATAAGTCATTCATTCAGAAGGCGATTTTCTGTTGCCTGCGCTTGTGACACCACCTAGGCTTACGATGAACATGGAGATTACAACCAGCGATAGTTCAGTCGCTTTCTGCAAGGTAGTGCCGTGGCAGATGCTGTTCTCGTAAAAATTGGTGTAGCTTGAAGGGCTCGTGCGTTTGACAAGTAACTGCAACGAGCCTGACTAAAACTTCGCAACAAATAGTTCAAGGATTCGCTAATTACCACGCTACATCTACTAGTTATTGATTGGGCCATCAGCATCAACGGTGAGTTGATAGGGCTTAATCAAATTAATTAAACCGAGCAAATATTGTTTAAGTGACATCAGTTGTAATGACGCCAATCGAACCTGGGGGCCAAGTGTGTTTACTCTTCCATTACCAAAACGTGTCACAAGCCGTTGATGGCTTGAAAAAAAGGTTAAGGCG